ACCAAGATTCCATCCCAGCTCCTCTCTGCACTCCTCTGTCCCCTCTGCACTTTTTCATGGGTCCCCTGATGCTGAGCTGCTGTGCTCGGGCTGGGCTTGCAGCTGTCTCTGGTCGTGTTGGCTTGCAGGCTTCATCAGCCTGTGTGCCCTGCCCAGGGGAGGAAAGTGCCACTGCTGTCCCTGATAAGCATTGGCCTCTGTCCTGCCAGATGGAAGGTCAGATCCTAGGGTGGAGCTCTTGGAAGGAGTCAGGCTGTCACAGGGACCTGGCTGAGGTTTTTCTCTCCCTGTGTAACACAGAGACCAGCTGCTCCTTGCTGTGCTGTGTCCCACCAGGGAGGAGGGACACGTTCAACTGGGAAGAGCTGGAGCGTCTTTATGTTGTCACCAAAAACATCTGAGGCTTCCTGCTGGTGTGATGGTGCCAGCTGAGCACACTGAATACATTTCCTCCATGTAGACACCAGGGGTTTAAACTGCAGAACAAGCTTTAGTGCTTGCTTAAAATAGGGAAGGTAAAAAATAGATTATTTTAGAGCATTTTCTGCATGGAATCCTCTAGCTGAGCTCTAGTTTTCAAGTCCAAATAGCAGAGTTGGATAATAATAACAGTAGAATAATAAAAATTAGAGAAGAGTGGGAGAAAGAGGAGGTGAAGGCATGATGGATGGATGCCAGTGGGCTGCCACGGGGGCAGTCAGTGCTGCTTGTTCCTGGAACTGCATCCCCTTAAAAGTGGGGACACCATCCTCCTGCCCTCCATTTGACCAGCTTGGCTGCTTGGTACAGCCCACACTGTCTCCCCATACCCTAAGCAACATCATGGGTGCTTCAGGGAAGGTGGCCAAACAGCTGTGGCTGCAGGTGGTACCTGCATATACATCTCAGGTAGGTTCAGCCACCCTAAGCAGCAGCACTGGAGTTTGGGTTGAACTGGGTGACAGGGACACAGCTCTCCCCATGGATCTGTACATGAAACAGCCCTTAACACAGACCCCTTAACTTGCCAGTGTTTGGCATTCCCTTTTTTAAATTGAAAGGGGTTTGATGACCCCATCACCTTCAGAAAACTGAAGGTCCTTGTCTAGGTTGATAAAGGACACAGCAATGAACCCACTGGTGGCTACTTCACTGCCTGCTCTTAGCAAAGATTAAATTTGCCTTAAATTTGGTTCAGGCTACTCCTCCTCCTCCTCCTGCAGCCTTAAGTTCTGATGTTCATCTTCTCCCTGCTGGAGCAGGAGGTGCTGCCAGGCCTGCAGACCATGCCAAGCAGGGTTGATGCTTCTGGAGCCCGTGGCAGGGGAAGGAGCAGGAAGCAGTCTGAGCTGGAGGTGGAAGCAGTGTGTCCCTTATGCATGTCCCAGCCTGAAGCACCCTCAGTGCCTGTTGTGGATGGGAAATGTCACCCCTCTTGCTCTGCATGCCTGACCTCCAAGCTGAGAAACTGGGAAGTGACAGCATGAGCCCACACCCTTCTTCAGAAGTTGAATTTGGTAGAAGGTGCTGGTTTGGCTTGGTGAGCTGGTTTGGGACTGTTCTCAGTAGAGGAGTCTGCCCTGAGCTCCACTCACAGAACTGAGCCTAGGATCCCTCTAAAGCCTGAACTGTCCTGGTGTGTGGCAGGCAGCTGGTTCACCAATTCCACTTTTCCAGTGCATGGAGGAGCACTGGGAAAGCCAGTCCAGGCTAATGCTTTGTGTTGCAGCTGTGGTGCTGTCTAAAAATGCCCTGAATCTGAGCTCTCTTGTACCCAAAATGTATATCTATGTATCTTATATCCTGTATGCATCTATACAGGGTATAAAAGCAAGTGGAGCACTCACAGAGCTGCCACGGGCATGGAAAAGTCAGAGGACAATAACCCCATGAGTTTATTACTCCTGTTACCTTTGGCAGGTGCTGGATTAAGTTCAAAGTTCTCCTTCCCATGATAAAGCAGGATAACTCTGATGGGGCAGCCTCTCCCCTGTGAGATGGGAGCTCCAGAGGCACCTCTGTGCTCCTCAGAAAGCCATGGGATAGCCCTTGGATTCTCTTGAATTCAAAACCACATCAGCAGGTTGAAAGCTGATGTCTTTATGACCCTTATCTCTGCCCTAGCCTGCCCTGTGCCATCCAGGTGTCATTCTGTGGAGCAGTAAAGCACTCAGTGAAAGTGCCACACCTTGTTTGCAGAGCTTAGGGTTAGAAAAAGTGAACTTTTACTTCCAAAACAGAAGCTAATTGCAACTCCAAGAGAAATTAATGGCAGAAGGGAGAAGATTATAAAGTCAACACCCCTGGCTCCGTCCCTGTCCCCATCACCCCCCTCTCAGGTTGACAGGTGCTCCTTTTCTCTTGCCTGTCTTTATTTGCCAGTACACGAACCAAACTTAAACCGTGGAGCAAAGTATCCAGCCAGGTTCCTCTCCATCCCAAGGGCACAGAGCCCATCCCTGGGTGCTTGTCCCTCTGTTTGCAGGAGCTGATGGCTTTGGGGGCACCCAGGAGCTCTGAGCCTATGGAAGGGAAAAACTGGGATGGAACAAAAAGCAGCTCTCCCTCTTTTCCCACTGAAATTTCCTTTAGCAGTCAGAGCAATGTTGGGTATTTTCTGTCTTCCCTTTTTTTTCCCCTTGAGGGAGTGATTGTTTATCAGTTACAGTGTCAAAATGTTCCAGATCTTATTTATGTTCCTTTAGCGTGACGTGTTTCTAAATTTACTCACCTTCTGCAGTCATGTGATGGGACAATGGGGTGTTTGGGTAAATTGGGACTGGAAATACCTTCCTGGGGCATGTGATGGGTGCTGCAACCGGAGGAGCTCGGGGGGGAACAGCTGACCTGGGGTGACTCCAGCAAAGGGCAGATTTTCAGTCCTTTCCACCCTGCTTCCAGGGCACAAAAACTGTTTTCTGCCCCAAACAACCCCTGCTTTGAGGGCACTTTTCTACTTGATTTAAACACTCTGGGGATGGCTGGGCTTGGCCCATCTCCGATGCCAAGGCTGCATTTGGTGCTCTCCAAGGTGCAAGATGCCAAGCTCCCCAGCAGTGGAGAGACCCTTGGGCTGAAGCCAGCATGCAAATCCCAGGGGATTTGTTTGCTTTAGCAGCTTCCTGGGTCTGTGCTGGCACACAGCTGCTGTTCTGCTGTGCCCTCATCCTTTGCCATCATTTGGTGGCACATGAGATGAGGCAAACACGTCACGGGAGGATGTGGATTGGACTTTGATTGGCCAGGCTCTCTCCTTCCCCAGATCTGTTGGTGCTTCTACAAGGAGACTGGTTAACTTGGGTTTGGCCTGGGACACTTCCAGGCTTTTCAGACAGTGCTGGAAAGGTATGACAGTACACAAAGTCTGTCCAGGGCTTTTTTCCAGTGTTTTGATTTGTTTTCTTTACACCTAGAAATGCCCATCTGCAAAGGGAACAGGAGCAGAGGAGGCAGCTGCCTTGTTCTGGGCATGGGAGAGCTGGTATGGGAGTTCCTGTGTAGTGCTGTCATTGGTGTCACCAAAAGGATGGGGGAAAATTGAAGAAGAGATAGAAAAATAAAAACTTTGCTGGTTGAGGGCTGAACAATACAGCTTATGCTGGGATTTAGGTCTCTGGCCATTCAGACCATGGAAAGAGGAAGAGGTGTATTTGATTACAGGGCAGAAATATTTTTCAGAAAATATTGGGGAATTTATTGAGCAGTGGCCTCCCCAGGGGAGAAGGAAATGAGCTGTAAGTCCAGGCTAGGGCTTGTTGCTCAGAGCAGTGGTTCCAGGAGCAGAGCCAAGGGATGGGGTATCACTCTGTCCTGTCCTGGTGCCACTGCTAAGGGAGGGGTGGCTCTGGTGTTGGCCTCGTGCCAAAAGAAACAATCCAGATGGATGGGAAGTGGGATGGTGATGCAGCTGGAATAGTGGGAGAGCTTTGTTGCTCTTTTGTTCAAGGCAGGTGGGTGCTTTCAGCAGCAGCTGCGTGGAGCTGAGGTGCAGTGGAGGAGGCAGTTCTGTCCTCTGCTTTGGCAGTAGAGACCTCTGTAGCCTTGCCTGGAGGAGGTGTTTGGACTGCAAGTGAAGACCCTGCTCACCTCTCTTCTTTCTTTTTTCCTAGTCATGGGACATCTTTTTTCGCAATGCCAATGCTGGAGCTGCTCCAGGCACTGCTTACCAAAGCCCCCCACCACTGACTACCAGCCTCTCCACCCTGTCCCAAGCCCAGTCCCTGGTTCAGGCACAGCCTAACGTGGATAAACTGGTGGAGGACCATCTTGCAGTGCAATCTCTCATCAGGGCATATCAGGTAAGGGGACTTTGTGCCGAGGAGGGTCACGTCCTTTGTAGAGGGGCTTGCAGGGGCTGAGGTGGAGTTAGTGTGAATGATGCACATGTTTGCATGGAGAGCATGGAGGATAGGAGCTGGGCTGCCTCCTTAGGAATAGGAGCAGCTGATCTGTTGGGACAGAAGCTCAGCTGATGCTTTGCTGGACAATAGGAAGAATAAAGCTATTGTCATCCAAGCAGGGTGGCAGGGAGGGGGAGGTCTTCTCCACACTGGGTGGTTTGCTGCTGTCTGGAATGCTGCCATGCTTGGCAGTGGCACGGAGCACCCATCCTGCTTCCCCCTGTTGCTGACGGAACTTCCCAGGAATGGAATGTCTCTTCAGTTAACTTGTTTTAATGACTAATCTGTGTTGTTGCTTCCAGGTCAGGGGTCACCACATTGCAAAGCTTGATCCTCTCGGCATTAGTTGTGTAAATTTTGATGATGCGCCAGTAACTGTTTCTCCAAACGTCGGTGAGAATTACTCTGCAAATTAATTCTAATGTAATTTAACTTTTTTACCCCTCCCCTCTTTTGTTTTTCTCTCCCTTTTGGTTCCTGCTCTCCTTTCCATTCCTGATGCATTTCATAGATTCGAGGGCATCATGTAGCACAACTCGATCCACTGGGCATCTTGGATGCAGATCTGGACTCCTCCCTTCCAGCCGATATTGTCACATCCACAGACAAACTGGGTGAGGGCTTTGAGAGCAGTTGGTGCTGCATTGCTTGAGCTCCCCTCTCTTTCACAGCTTCGTAGGTAGATTGCTTCACAGGCCAGGGGTCTGAAGTTTCCTTAGTAATGATCACTCTAAAATTGTAGTTGCCGGTAGCAGCAGCAGTGCGGTCCTGCCACCCTCCGGCTGCCACTCCAGTACTCAGCTCATGTTTCTTCAACCAGTACCAATCAGTGTTATCACTGATCTTGCTCACCCAGAAGCAAGATCCCAGAAGGGCTGGAAGCAATTGCATCTTCTAGAAATGCAAAGCAGAGAGGTTTTTTGTTGGTGAGAGCTGGAGGTCTGTTCTCTCAGCTCCTCTTGCTGCCCTTGGGGACCCTCAGAGCTGGGGGTGAATGTACTGGCTTCATCTCTGCAGGGCTGAGGCTGCCCTCCTGAACTTCCAGCTTGCCACAGCATCTGTAAATCCTTTAATTGCCCTTTGTCCAAGACAGAGCTGTGAGTCCCTACTGGTGATCATAACAAGGAAGCTTTGGGATGCATTCCTGTCCAAGTATAGAGGTGGAAATTCCAATGCGTTTGAGTGAGAGCTGCATGAGTGTTGTACAGAAGTGTGTGTGGTTCCCAGGACTTGAAATCCTGATCTGAAAGTGCTTAAACCCAGCACCTCTCCATGTGCTTTAGAGCTGATTTCTGTAGTTTGCTACCATTCTCCTAGCCAGGATGAGGTTGCTGAACTCTATCACCTCACTGGTGCTTCCCAGGGTAGTTCCCTGGCACTCCAAGCACTCCAGAGGCATGCTCATGCTCCTAACGTAGAGTAGAGCAGCAGTGATGATTACTAACCTTGCCAATTGACACAGCCAATCAGAATGCACGGTGCATGTAAACCTCCTTGATTCCTTATTCATCTGCCAGCACAGGGACACCAGCCCTGGACCTGCTGGACCTTCGGACAGGATTACATGTACCAGGAGCGGTAGGGAAGGGAGTAGGTTTTGGTTGGACCAGTTCACTGGATGATGAGGAAATTGCTTCATCCCGTAGTCTGGATTCTGACATGCTTCTCTGGAAGACCAACCCTTGGATGAACCTCAGGAGCCATCCAGCTCCAGCTAGGAGTGTGTCCTGTCCTGAGATATTTTGATGGCAAGAGGTGGGGAGATGATGGCTGTGAACCCAGCTGTGGGAGAAAGCACACGTGCTCATAGTCAGCATTGTGAGGAAAGCAGGAAGACTTTTTAGGTGAATTTAAAGCCACTCACCATGGCTGGGTAGTGGAGAGGATGAGGAAAGGCTTTTCTAACTCGGGGTTTTTAGCCTCTGCTGTGGGCACTACAGTTCTGCAGAAGAGTAGGAGAGGAGAGCCCTGAAGCTTTATGCCTGGAGGATGTGTATCCCTTTTGAGAGTAGAGCAGGGTCTGGGTGAAACCCAGAGCAGGTCAGCTGTGAGTGGTGGCAGTGACAGCTTTCCCTCAGCAGGAAAGGGAGCCTGGTGTGGGCAGCAGAGTTACTGTGCTGCTCAGGAAGTCCTAAACTCAGAGTGGTCTGGGTTGGAAGGGAGCTTAGGAGGTCAGCTAGTCTAACCACGCTGCCACAGGCAGGGACTCCTTCCACCAGACCAGGTTGCTCCAAGCCCTGTCCAACCTGTCCTTGAACATTTCCAGGAATGGGGAATCCACAGCTACTCTGGGAAGCCTGTGCTAGGGCCTCACCACCCTCACAGGGAAGAATTTCTTCCTTATGTCCAGTCACTGACATGCCCTTCGTCAGTGTGCAGCCCTTGTCCCTGTCCTGGCACTGCAGACCCTGGTAAAAAGACTCTCTGCTCCTTTCCCATAAGTCCATTTATAGACTGAAAGGTCACAACAGGATCTCCTGGGGCTTTCTCTCCTCCAAACTTGACACTCCTGGCTTTCCCAGCCTATTTCCATAGCAGAGGGGCTTTTGCTTTGAAGGAATGTGTAGCACTTGACAGGGCGGTTAATAACAGGAGTGGTTTTGAAACTTGGAAACAATCTTGTTTCTTCTTTGTGAGCAGCAAAGTCCTTTAAAGGTCAGCTTTTGTGGTGTGATCACAGTTGCCAACAGTTTAAGTGGCAGTGCTGTGATTCAAATAAGTTGGATTCAAATGATTGATCTCAGAAATTGATCCTTCTCCATTGCCTTTTGTTTAGCAACGGGTTTGGCTGTGGTTTGGAAGCTCTCTTTGGATTAAGTAGTGTGATCTTTGGGGAAAATGTCAGAGGCAGAAAACCTGCCCAGGGCTACTCAATCTGAGGAGTGGTGGGGTTGGAGCCACCCAATTCCCCTTTCTCTTGTCTTTTCTATTTGAAAAACCAAGAAATCTCATCCTGGTCTTCCACTGCAGCTGGTCTGGCATGGTAAGTGTGTAAAACAAGGACAGGATGACTACAGGAACTCAGTATGACCCTGAAAATAGAAAGAAAGAAATAGTACCTTAGCACACTGAAATCTGGGTGGTGTATGGAAGGCTGTGTGTGTCTAAGTCTCTGTCTGTCTGTCTTTCTCCCCGTGGAAGGCAGCTGGCAAGGGGCATTGATGGAAATCCTCCTCCAGCTCAGGAAGAGCCAGGCGAGCCCCTGCAGGGACCTGGGCTTGAGGTGCTCCCACCTTCCTTTTCCCCTCTTTGGGGAAGTGTCTGATTTTCCCTGCTGACCCAAACGACAAGTGTTTCCAAGGCCTTTTTGTAACCTAGGTGAGATTGAGGCACTTGGGTCACCTAACCTAGCTGGGCAGGAGCTCTGGTGCTGCATGCTTGCCCATGTTGCAGTGTGCTGGCACTCCTGCCTGCACCAAGCATGCTCCAGAGAGGCAGCTGTGCATGCCTGCTGTGCTGCCATCTTCGTTGTCTTCCTCATGAACTGCCTGCTTGTCAACACCCCAATCCTCCTCCTCCTCTGTGCTAAGGCAGCACTCTTACCTCCGTGGGTTGACCTTGAAATCCTCCCAGTAGCACGAGCAGAGCAAACCCTCTGGAGCAGGTGTTGGTGGGAGGCAGCTCCCAGCTTCTGCAGAGGGTCCCACTCCCTGTGATGCAGCTTGGCAGGATGCTTTTGGTCGTGGCAAATGAAGATGCCAGGCCATCCTCTCTCCCATCAAGGTGCAAGAGGAGATCTCAAACCATGCAGCTCAACTACTCCCCAGTGTCTGATGCCCCCTTCCCCTCCTGCTCCTCCCTCCTCTCATCAGACTTCCCACCAGGATTCCTCCTCTGCCTAGTGTATAGTCATCCTCCATCCCTGCCCTTTTGCCTCTGATGGATTTTGCCTGTATTTTAAATACTGTATTTTTTTGACTTGTGCTTTCCATGACTAGTTTTCACAGTTTCAGATGTTTTTACTAACTTTGACTGCATCTCTCTGTCTTCTCCCTTTCTGCATCCCCCTCCCTGCCCTCCCCAGACCTCGCAGTGTTCAAGGAGCGGCTGAGAGTGTTAACAGTAGGAGGTATGCAATTAATGAGCCCTTAACCCTCTGGAGTGCAGGACTCTCTTTGAATAGGTTATTCTGGGCATGAACTGAGCTGGTAAAGTGGACCCCTCCCATCTCCCACCACTCCTGAGTTTTGTGACATGTTTTATTTTTAATTTCTACTCAAAGTCTTGACGTAGGTGTGTGGTTAGTGACACTTTGCCTTGTATAAATCCTCAGTTTGGGCCTTGCTGGCCTTTTCTATACTGTGTTTGCATGCCTGGCTTGCTAGAGTACATGTTTTGTTGTGAATATTAATTTTACAAGGCCTCAATCTCCCTCATTGGTTCAAGACTCCTAAAAATCCAAGCTGTCTTCTGCTGGTTTTGTCGCAGGGAAAATTTGGCAGCTCGTCCCTTGTCTTCCTCCATCCGATGGTGTTGCTGCCTATAAATACCAAGTGTTGTCAGAGCTGTCAGGCTGCAGCAAAGAAGAAGCAAAGATGCTTAGACGTCCTAAAACTCCTTGTAAAATCTGATACTCCCCAAAGTGTGCCAGAGTGTCTTCAAAGCATCGCAGCAGAACAAGCCAAAGCCCTGTGCTGCAGGTCTGCAAGCTTCACCAAATTACTGAGGATTCCCTGAAGCCCTTCAGCAGGCAGTTTGTGTGGGATGCTCCCTGCTGACTCTCTGGGATTTCTGTTTGAAAGGGAACCAAAGAGAAGCCCCAGAGACATGGGGCTGAACTCTCAACTCCTGTCTGGTTCAGTGTTCCTAGTTCTGGAGCAGAGCTGCTGGGGCCTGGCTTCATTCCCTCTCCTGGGACTCTGATGTCCCAGGAGCAGAGGGGATGAACAACAGTGCAGCCAGGAATGTGTTCCAGTTCCTGGACTTGCCCCTCAAGGCTGCACAGGAATGAGCCATGACCAGCCCTGTCATCATGGAATCACAGGCTGGCTTAGGCTGCAAGGGGCCTTTCATATCACCCAGTCCACTAGGCCAGGTTGCTCCAAGCCTAGCATTGAGCACTTCCAGGGATTGGGCTGTCTACAGCTCACTGTCCATTCCTGACCAGACAGCAAGGGATAGACTTTAACAAGGAAGGGGCTAGCTCAGGAGGGGCCAGTTTTTGCCTCCCGTCCCCCTGAGGAAGGTGGGTTACACTGCCCTGCCATGCTTAGATGGTGTTCCTCATCCCCTCTCTGAAATAACAGGTCCTCTAAAAGCTCCCTCTCTAAAATCTGGGGTCCTGGGCTGGTTTGGAGGAAGCTGGGAGGAGCAGTGGTACATGTGTCTACTGCAGCTCCTGCCCTGGGTTAGGAAACACCTTGGGACCAGGCCCTGTTGGGAGTGCAGGAGGTATGAGCAGAGCCTGAAAAAGGTGCCAGGGCTGTAGACTCCTTCATCCAAGCTCCTGCTTCAGAAGGGTCATGGGACTCTCCAGCTCCTGGACCTGCTTCTGCCTTTCTGCATTGGTTTAGCAAGGTCAGCACTGTCCCTCCTCCTCCGTGCCTCAGTTTCCTCAGAGACAACCATGAGCTTCAGCAGGTAGTGAGGCACCTCGGATGGCTTTGGGTTACAGTGGAACTCACCTGCAGCCCTAAATCCCAACCTCCAGCTCTTGAGGCCTGCTTGGCCCCTCTCCAGGCCCAGCTCAGCTCCTCACAGCCCCATACCATGAGTAGGAGCTGCCTCCAAATCATCAGCTGCCAGCACCAGAGGGTGGAGGTTTGCTGAGCAGAGCTAGGCAAAAGCTCTAATGAAAAAGCTGTTGATTGGGGTGAAAGAGTACCTGGGCAGCCACCCCTGAGTGGCTGCTGGCCACCCTGCTCCCGGGCTGAGCTATTCAGGAGAGTCCATCAGAGCCCTGTTGCCTTTTCTCTTTCGTGCTTCTCTGTCTCTCCCTCCTTGGGGTTTCGTCTGTTTGGTTGTGTCTTTTTTAACTGTTTCCTTCTCTGCATTGACTCTCCATTTTTAATTCCCACCACGTGCCGACACCTCTGACGTGCTCGGTGACTCCTCAATTCCTGTTTCTTTTCTCTCCCCTTTGTTATAATTTGTTGCCTGTTTTTTGTGTTCTTGGGGCTCCAAACTCCCTGACTCACCCTGGATTTTAATTGCCCATTTCCATGCATATACATTGCTTTGTGGTTCATTTCCTGCGGTGCCTTCCATAATGACTCATTGTTCTGTGCTTAATGTCTTTTTGTTTAATTATGGCTTGGTTTTTATCCATATAAACCTCCTTCATGCTTATTATTTTTTTATGCTGCTTTTTTTTTGTCCCTTCCCCACTTCTCCCAAACGTACCTGGTCCCTGTGTGATGGTATCCACGTCCCTCTTCCTTCCTTCTTTCTCTTGCTTCTCCCAACCATGACAAATCCTGCAGGCTTTTATGGTCTGGATGAATCTGACCTCGACAAAGTTTTCCACTTGCCCACAACCACTTTCATCGGTGGAAATGAATCGGCTCTGCCACTCCGGGAAATCATCCGGCGGCTGGAGGTGAGGAGGGCAGGGGTCTCACCAGACCAGGGGCAGGGGCAGAGCACTTGTCTTTGGAAAGTCCTGGGTCAACCTGCACATTTTAAGATTTTCACTTTGGGAACTGCTTCTCAGCACTCTTCCCCACTCACAAGAGTCACCTCGAGTAACCTGCTCAGCTCTGATTGTCTCCAGCTTTCTGCTGCATTGCAGCAACGCACCAGGTTTGCCCAAGGTGGAGCAAACCCCAGGCAGCTGGATATTGCCTTTTTTGAAACCTCTCCAGCTATGCTTTCCAGTTTGAAGCAGCAGCTGGTACTTGCAGAGCACAGGAGTGGGCTGGAGGCCAGTGATCTCCTCTTCAGGCACTGCAGCAGTGTTGCTGTCCTGCATGGGCGTCCATCAGAGGGTCTTGGTGCAGGTTTGAGACCCCTGGGGCTGGGGCTTCCAACTCATACAGGCAGTTCCCCTTTTCTGCCAAATTTCATCCCCTCCTGTGCTTGGACTGGTCTCAAGCAGCTCTCAGGCACGCTGCAGGCTGCTCAGATGATCTCTGCTGAGACTAGTTGACCTTGGAAGGAGCAAAACTCTGCTAACATCTTAGCCCATCTGCAGGAATGGGTTCCTCATTGTGGGAGGAGCTTCTTCTGATTCTCCCCTGCCCTGTGATGTGGGATTTTGGACTGCTCACAGGTGATGCCATGAAGAGGGAAAAATCTCTCCTCTGAGGTGGATGTAAAGGATTTGAGGGACTGATTGTGGGCCCGTCAGAGAAGGGGAATTAATTGATGCTGGGTCATGTGCACGGTCCAAGCTGGCCTGCAACATCCTGGAACGTGTCCTGCCACATCCCTTTTCCTGGGAATACAACTCAAACAAGGCTCCTAAAGTGGGGCTGTTGCAGGGCTGGCAGCTGGGTTCCCCCAGGATCCCCCTCCAGCTGCCAGGCATGAAGATCTAAGTGTCTGCTGGCATAAAAGGGCTCCTTGGCTGAAAGGGTAAAGGGGGAAATGAAGAGCCCCTGGCCCTGAGATCCAGTGGAGCGCTTTGGGGGTTTGAGGTGCTGAAGCCCTGGCTGATGCCTGATGGCCCCTCATTTCCCCTTGGAGCAGATGGCATACTGCCAGCACATTGGCGTGGAGTTCATGTTCATCAATGACCTGGAGCAGTGCCAGTGGATCCGGCAGAAGTTTGAGACCCCAGGCATCATGCAGTTCACCAACGAAGAGAAGCGCACGCTGCTGGCCAGGCTGGTCCGCTCCACCAGGTACCCTGGGGGGCTTCACCTTCTCCTTATCTTCCCCAGGAGGTTTGCTCCCAGCCAGAGTGATGCAGCCACCAGCTGAGTCACATCTTGACATCATCTGTCGCCGTCAGCTTAATGAGCAGGTTGATGCCACTGTCTGGCAGGCTCA